TTAATTAAAAAATAAAAAAGTTTTATTAGTAACACATTTTTAATTTACTATATAAAAATCTATTATACTATCTAAATCATATAAAAAATAATCTACATACACCCTACCCTTAATGTTAAAAATATATATATATATATATAATTATAGAATAAAATTAACTAATAGGTTTACATAAATTAACCAATCAAATTCTTCATTTTTGTACTATCTAAGGAAATTTTAACCCATCTAAGTAAACTTTATTATTATACAAGTATATTTTTTTAAAAAGAATACAATATATCAAAATTTTACTATAATATATAAATAATTTTATTTACAATATTATAAAATTTTTTTATTAAAAAATAAAAAAGTTTTATTAGTAGATATATCAATTTTAGATGAAAATTTTAATATATCATACATAACTATATAAAAATGATCTACATGCCCCCTACTCTTAAAAGGTTATCAGATTTGAGAAACAATAGACCTGATGATCACATGATTATAAATCAGGCTAATTGAATTACAAAACTTGTATATATTAGAACCAAGTATCAGATTTGCTATTTTGATAATATATAAAATTGAGTTAATAAAAATTAAGCAAAATTGGTTTAAGAAAATTTTTTTAAACTTTAAATAACAATAACAACAACTTAATCAAATTTAATAAAAAAAATTTAAATAAATTTTACAAACTTATAGAATTTATTTTAAAAAAATTTATTAAATTTGATTAAATTTTTTGTTAAGTTATTAGCATTTAAAAACAATTGGCTTTAGTTCTATTAACTCACCTCTATTTCTTTGTACTAATTTGCTATTATGATTATATACTGTATTTATGTACTAATAAACACATTTTTCAATATCGGTTATCAGAAATGACAGGTTATCAGGTTTTATTTATAAAATGGACATGGTGGAATCAGTTATGATAAGTTATCGATTTTGACAGAGTCGGTTTTGAGAGGGTATACTGTATATCTTAACCCAAACCTTAAGCAATGTTTTTTTTTATAATTTTGTATTATACGAATTTACAAATCATGCTAGTGTATACACGTCTAAAATATATACAGTAAATAATTTAATTAAAATTTACGATCTATATATTATGATATAAATCACGTGTTTTGGTTGGACTAAGTACCAACTATGTCAATAGGCGATCAATCAGCTAATTAATCAAAACATAACGATAGGGTCAAATATTAATTCGAATTTTCTAAATGCTGATTTCACCTATCACTATGAATTTATATATGAATTCATACTAATTTTTTTTACTTACCTAATAAATAAAATTATAAAAGTTTGTGAAAAAAAAAGTTGGTAAAAGCTAACAAAAGTTATTGTAAAACTGTCTCTATTACAGTATAGACCTAGCCTAGAAACACAGGTTAAAAAAAAAAAAATTCCAATACAATTTTGTCTGTTAAGTAGATAAAAAATATGGACCTAAATTAGTACTAATTTAGATATAAATTCATATGTGAAATAAGCTTTTAGGTAATCCGAATTAAATGAATTACCTTAACTATATTTTGGTTAAAAGTTACTTTGATTGGCTAAAATTAAAAATCCTCAATTCTCACTATCGTAATGAATTTTTACCAAAATCATTGTAGTTGTTGTGCAATATATCGATCTATTACAAGCTACGTTGATGCTTGAAAAAACACCAATAAATTAATCATAGCTAATCTCACCTTGTTATCCTCCACTTATGTGTAATAATAATAAGGATGGTATCACATGTTTAAAAGATATAGGTACGAAGCACCTCAAGAAATTTGTTTAAATCGATTTTGTTAGAATTATTTATAATAATAATTCGCGTTGAAATGTCTTGATGTAAAAAAAAAAAAAGTTATTTTTACTCGCATATAGTTTAAAAATGTTTTTTTTTTTTACATAAAATATTTTCGGAATAAATGAATCAAGTGTAAATGTATCGACTCTAATTGATCGACTTGACTAAGCCAATCGGCTAAGTCGAAGTCGATCGTTCTAATTGGTTAATCTCAAACATTTGATTTCAAAAGACACGACAATATCGATAACGATAGGTGACACTTCCTATACATTCAATCAAGAACTTAGTAGGCTAAGTCGATTTTATCGATTTAATGTTAAATCAACTACGATTACTAATCAAATGAGTGTCGTTAATGGAAACTATTACTTCGGGATTTTAATTCACAATTAACCGGACACAACTTATTTTTGGACATTGAACGGTAAAATTCTAAATTTAAAGCCGAAATATGTATGATTTTCACTTGGTGACAACCAAATATTTAAATCTGATGACTAAACACATTGATTACATATTAAGACTTATTGAAATTTGAGTCGAATTCCGAGATGTAACGATATAAATGATTTATACTACGATTATACTATTATTATACTATTATTATACTACGATTATGCTAGGATTAAGCGAATCAACTTTAGAACATATAAACAAAGTATGCGTTATCTAGTACAAAAACAAAAGAATATGTTACGCGCCTTCTTTTATTATGATGCGGGAAATCCGCGTCTTTTTTTTGTTGGGGGAGGGGAGGTAAGTTATTTTTTCGATAATGATAAGATAATGAATTATATTTATAAACAAAACAATAATGTAACAACTTAAGATACAGGTTTCACATAGTTTTTTTTTTATTTTATTATTATTGTTATACAGATGATAATATTTTTAGTTAATAATACACAACAGGTTTAAAGCTTAATGACAATCACTTAAAAATCGAATATAACCAATTAAATTTCAATAATTATCGTTGGTTCCCTGTTAATACGAAGGTAGTACAATCCAAAGAAAAATACTGGAAAACAATATAATGAAGTTATTTTTTTCATGTGAACTTTTCAATAACAAAGATGCACAGTTAATAGGTTAAAAGAATATGGTATGTATGTTTTTAGTGCGTAAGTATAACAATAGATTAACAATAGAGTTCATAATAGGTTAATAATAATAAGTTAATAATAGATTATATAATATATATATAATTATATAATAAGTTAATGATAAGCTAATAATGATCAGGCCGTGAACTAGATTGTTATACAGACATCTAAATATTAAATTACAAGTGTATAATCATAAAGTATAAGCCTAAATTCCTATTGAAGCTTTGAGCATATCAAATGTAATGAAAAAGGACATTGAGCGGGGATTGACTACGTATGATAGACGATAATAATAATTAATAATAATTAAGTTGCATGGAAAAAAAAAATGTCCGAAAAGAAAAAAAATATCCGAAACAATCTTATACATATATGCTTAATGCTATTTTTATTTAATTAAAAGATTATTGCATTAATAGTTTAAAAAAAAATTCTCATACGATAAGAACCGAATGCATAAATGAATAAAATAAGTATAGCATTACGATTTGTTTGGACAATAAAATAAAAATCAAATTACTAAAATACGAAAAAACCCATCATACGGTTTTTTTAATGATTACCGCGTTGGGAATGGCGCGTCTGATCTTCAAATATAATTGACAAATTTGAGCATGAAAATGGTATGATTATTTTGGTATGATTATTTTTGGTACGTATACGAATGGGATTATTATGCTTGGATAAAGAGGAAGACAAGGAAGGTCACATTAAGCGGGGAAGATGAGCCGACAGAATTTTTAATACATTTACAAGTAATCAAGATGTTTGTTTGAGTTCCAAGATAATCATGAAATAAAGAAAGTCTCATGCTTACTATCTCTACTTTGGTAATCACCATTTATAGTGTTGAATAGTTTACCGCATGGTCCGAATTGCAACAATATTTTTTTAATCCGATCTTTTTTATGCAAAATGCAACCACTACATGTTTAGCAACTTTCTCTCTAAACATTTATTTTTAAAGAATTCGTGATGTATGCACCTAGAATATTTTTAGAATCACCAATGGGAACATGGTTTACGATCTCAATGAGATTTGAAATTCCTAATTGAGGTTTGTTTTTTGTCCTACACAAGTAACAAAAACAGGAAAAATCGCACAATAATATAATAATTCAAAAAAAAGATTAAGGGTAAAAGGTAACGTGTTAACTACTAAGACGATTTTTGACTGGTTCTTTGATTGAGCACGAAAGACATATATACGAAAACATTAATAATATTTTTGTATTCTTTCGGGAAGTAAAATGTTTAAAAAGTTTTTAGAAAATCATGAAAAAAGAAAAGGAAAAATTATTCAGAGAAAAAAAACGTTTATTGATTGATTAACTTTATTTAAAAAAGGTTAAGAACAAACAACTTTGACAATACTTCAATCTGAAACACGGGGTTAAGGGAGTTTCGAAACTATTCTGAAATGCATTTAAACATTTTAAAGTAGAAATAATTAGAGTTCGTACGATGTGTTTAAAGATTGTTTTGAAAATAATAAAGCTGTGTAATCAGCATGAATGTTCATTGTTTGTTCAATAACCGCGTGTTTGGCGTGATACGTTAGACAATTTTTCAAAGACGATTTTCACGACAACGAAAGCGCGCAACCATATGCATAGCAAAGTGTCATCACAACTGGTTAAGCTGAGATAAATCTTTATTACAACTGGTTAAATTAAGTTAAATCTTTAATTATTGGCAACTTTTTCGAAGGCCACAAAAGATCAGATCATATTAAAAAAGGCAATAAAATCATTTACCCGAGTTCATCAAAGAAAAACATGTGGTAATTTGTCATGTTCAAATAAGCCATAAAAAAAAACACAGCCGGTGCAGTGTTTTTTTGTTTATTCTTCTTTTTTTTTTTGTTGTGGTACACATATCATACACCATTCTGAATTGGAGCTTTGTCGTATGATTTTCTTGGTTCTTGTGAAAAATCAAGCAAGTATTTAAACAGTGAGAATTTGAGTCGAGTTGAGGGAAGGATCATAATTAAGTCTTATATATGCCTTATAAATATGTTATAAATCATATGAACATATGCTTGCTAAAATAACTATATGATGGGGAGAGTCCTTAAGATTTTTTTTTGTTTTTCCATATAAATATATATACCATAAGATATTTCCTAAGCTTTTCTTTTCCCATTTCTTATGATTAACATAAATTTTTTTTTAAAAACCTTAATTTTTTTTTTTTCCTCGTTTTTCTTTTTTTTTCTTATTTAATGTTGAATAAGATTAATATACGCATTATTGTTATTGTAGACGTTATAAAAACAGAGAGCAGTAGCCTCCGGTGAATTATGGTAAGTAATTTGATTGTCGAGAGGATTGATGGTGTAATTTGAAAATAAATTTTCATTGACATTAATAGGAAAACCCGGGGTGATAGGACTAGGAAACATGCCAACCGGATTTTCATTGGCTTCGAATAAGGCAATATTTGTTGGACCGAAAGATCCAGTATGATGTTGCATTGCTTGAACAACTTTAATTTGTTGCGCTGAGGTTGACGGTGTGATTGGTGGGGTTAAAATGGGATTTATATCACACGATTGCACGGTCGGAGTAACAGACATAATGATGTTACTTTCGTTGTTCTTAAGTTTCGATAATTTATTTTTTATTTGAAGCCATCGAGTGCGGCATTGCCTCTGTTTTTTTTTGACAACATCAAAAAAAAAAAAAAGAAAAAAAAAGACATTTAAAAAAATCCAATTATGTTATAAAATTCATGTATATTATGTATATCGAAATTTTATGTATAAAAAATCCGAGTGTAATCGATTTTAAAAATTTCGAGTATATCGAATATAGCATAAAAAATAATATTAAGAAATTTCGGGTATATTAAATATTAAATATATTAAAATAAATTAGGTATTTTTTTAAATTTTAATGAAAAATTCGAAAAATTCGAAAAATTTAAAAAATTCAAAAAAATTCAAAAAAATTCGGGTATATTAAAAGAATCAATCATATTAAAGATTGATATTAAAGATTGATATTGAAGATTGATATTAAAAATTGATATTAAAGATCAATATTAAAGATTGATATTTTAAGGATGATATTTTAAGGTTTATAATAAGGTTAATATTTAAGGTTGATATTAAGATTGTTAAGGATTGTATTCGAAGAAAAAAAAAAAAAAAAAAAAAAAAGTCCATTGAGCATATTTTATTGAAAAAAAAGTATGTACAAAGGAAAAAAGTTGTCTCACTAAAAATGATAAATAAATTACTTAGTTACCTGTGTTCGACCTTGAATCATTTCGGCGATCCGAATCCAACAACGACCATAAATCTTTACACCTTCTTTCAGTATACTATCTTCACTAGGAGACCATTTTCCTTTTTTAATACGAGGATCTAATGCTTCTGTCCAACGCGCTTGACATTGAGCGCCAGTTCTTTGTGGAATCTGTTTAGAAACTTTATTCCATGGTATTGGCTGAGGATTCCCTTGGGAGTCAACCGCATTAAGATAACGAGATACCGTTTCAGTGAGTGCAACGTCTTCCACCGAAGTCCAACGACCTTTAAGGACCGACGGATTTAAAGCGCCGACCCACCGAGCAGAACATTGCATGGGAGTTCTGTTTGGAACATGGGTTGCAATTAATGACCATTTATGTGGACCGTATCTTTGAACAGCTTCACGAAGTAATTCATCTTCCTGTTCTGTCCATTTTGTATACACAGAAGGCTTTTGATTTACCGGGTTTGGTAATGTGGGCTGGTTGTCTAGGGATAGTTGTGACGTATTGTATGATGCAGTGATCTGATAAGTATACAAATGTTTTGGCAAGAAATATGTCATTGGTTAACAAATTGGTAATTTATTCATTTAAATAAAAAAACCGGAATCCTCCAAAAAAATTATTATAATGAAATTCATCTTAACCTTTTCCATCTCCTGCCGCGTGAAATCTTCACTAAGCATATAACCAGAATTAGGAATTGATAAATGTGAAAGATATTGTGCATGAACTGCAGCAATATTCTTGTGATATGCTGTTGCTTGGTTATGAGATAAAGTCTACGAATTTGAGGCAAGAAAATGAAAAGAAAAGAAAAGAAAAGAAAAGAAAATAGTTGATTAATATTCAAAACATCCGAGAAGAATTCCCCCAAGTTCTGATTTTCAGTTTTTTTTTTTTTTTGATTTATATTTTTCTTTCACGTTACATGTGATTTAGTTTGTTCTTGATTGGCCAAAACAGAAACATGGGGAAAACCGTAATGTAACACCAAAAATTTTTTAGCACCTCTAAAACATTCGGATCAACCTGAGATTTAAAAAGTAAAGTCAATAAAAACATGATGAAAAAGAAAGAAAGAAAGAAAGAAAATCCTTTAACATTATTATCAACTTACCAATGATAAATTATTAACAGCTGTCGTGTGTTCCACATGATTCAAATTATTTTGCGGGAGGAATGTTTGAGACTTAAGATTAAAAGAAGATTAAAAGAAGGTTAAAAAAAGATTTTAAAAAATTAAAAGATAAGAGAAATTATATAAACAATTAATTTCTTTCTGAAACATGATCATTAATTTTTTTCTGAAACATGATCATTTATTTATTTATTTATATTTTTATTGATCAAATTATTATTGTTGTGATTGTGATGATTCATAATTTTTTTAATCTATTACTAATAATAATGATAAACATTATTTGTTATACTTACTTGACAGTCGTTTGAAGAAGTTGTCTGCATTGGAAAAAAAAGGTGTGGATATTAATTAAATGAATACTAGTTGAAATCTGAAGGATACTTCAAACTATGGTATTAATGATATTAATTGCACGTTACTATTATTTGGGGAATGATTTGACTTAAATCTATAGGTAATATTAATTTTTATAATAAAACAGTAACTATTGAAATTCTCTTTAGATTAAAAAATTTTTATTTATAGTTTATTTTTCGTAGTTTCTAAAAAATGACTTTCAGATTTTTTAATCTTTTTTATAACAAAGTTTTCCAAGAGTGGATTGCTAAACAAAAAATTTTTAGAATAGTTTTGTAGAAATTTTTTGCTTGCAATTAACTCTTAAAATAACGTTATGATAAAGCTTTTAAAAAATTCGAAAAAATATTTTCTAGAAACTACAAATGATAAACTTTTTAATTTTTGGTATAGAATAAAAATTTTTAATTATTGTTAAATTTTCTAATCTAGAGAGAAAAGGTTTCATGTTGTTTTATTATAAAAATTAATGCGTACCGCATTACTTTTGATTGTATGCTTTTAGTATATTTATAGTTCAAAGTATCCCATTATAACCATAACCAAAATCATTGAAAATAAAAAAAATCATGTAAATTACTAAATTACTTGAAGTAGGGGAATAGAAACTTCTTGCGGTTCGGACTGACTCTATATAAAAACTGAATTAAATCGAGATAAAAAAAAAATATAGCAAATAAAAAAAAAAAGTTAATTTTTTAATTTTTTTTATTTAAACTCACTTCAATTGATGATCTATTGAGAGTCGTAATTTTATTGTTATCGAAAAAATATGGAATATGGATCATATTAGACATGTTACAGTATTAGAGAGAGAATTGTATGGTCAGTATATAAAATATGTAAAATTAACCGCGATTAAAGATAGAGGATATCCTGGTATATTTATAGTTTATAGATTTAGATCCACGTGGAATTAAATGATTCACCTTCTTTTATATATATACAACGATAATGCAAAAAAAAAAACAATAATAATCTGTTATCTATTATATAAAGGACCCGGGCAAAAAAAAAATTTTTGTTCTCCATAGTGTTTTAAGAAAACAGTATTGTTTTGGACTGTAATGCTGTACCTGGACTGTAATGCTGTACCTGTGACATAACTATGCATACCATTACGTTTACGATTCAAAGTCAAAATAAATGAGATATAGGTGTATTTTTAATTAATGTCTTTTTCAGCGCCAAATTTATATTAGTTAAATAAAATGTAACAGACACTAACCCTATTTTATTACATATCTAAATACTATAAAAAGCGAACATTTTTTTTTTTTTTTTTTTTTTACAAACAAAGCTCTCTTTAAAATATCTGATCGTCAAAACAATGACGTATACAATAATAATAAAATGAAAATCTATGATACAGATTAGAAAGAAAAACACGCAACCAATGTGCCTAATGTGCAGGAATGAAGAATTTTTTATAAATACAAGGTAAGTAAGTACGTATGAACGTAACTTTGAATATGATATTCGTTAGTGAACCAACCATGGTTATAAAGAAAATCCACATGCGCACAAACTTATTGGTTCGTTCAAATTCCAGATGGTGAAAGAAAGGTATCTCTAATGCAGCCAATTGACCGATTGCTTGCTTGTTTTCTTTTCTTACGTTTTTCTACATGAAGGTAATTATAAATGCGGAATTATTTATGAGATCATAACAACACAACTAATTCAGTGTTTGAGGTTAGTATTACAAGACCCAAATTTATTTATTTTCGATGCCATAAATAATTTATATAATTGGTCAATAGTTTTTTATACATTTTATTGAGGAAATTAAGTATGCAAAAATGTATCGATAATTTCGCTAGCATGCAAGGTAAAATTTTATCAAAGCGCACTTTGATGTCACGCAAAATAAAAAAAAACGTCACATAAAGCAATTTTTTCCGAAATGCGATCTTACAAAATAGGTGAAACCCTGTTGCATTATCACGCATATATTATATTAATTAAATTAAATAATAAACGATATAATGACATACCGATACAAAATTCTGGATTAACGCACGTGAATAAGCATATGCTACATTTGCTACATTTGCTATGGTATTCGATTTCTATCCAGTGGTCACCTAATAGCTAAACCAAATAGTTCTTTTTTAATTAGTTTATGAATTAATAGTTTGAATTAATAGTTTGAGGTGATAGAATGAATATTTTCATGTACGTACTCACGTACTCTCGTACATACTCACCTTAGTATTCCAAGAATGCAAAACAACAAAAAACAATCAAGCCAGATATCTCCTAGTACTTTAAAGAAAAGTCAGGGACCTACAAACAAATCGGCAATTAATTAATTAATCCATTATGAGTGATTTTTTATGAAGATTACAAATAGAGTTTGATTTTTTTTATACTTTACGATAATAGATAATAGAAATGGTTCTTTTTTTTTAAATCTATTTATGTAAGTACATACGTATACACATTGTGTACATGAACTCATCAAAATTTTACTTTTCGAATTCGATTATGTAATAAGGATATATATATATTTTTATAGTTTACTCTATTGGTTTATATTAATAAAGGTTATGCGAAATTATAGTAAACAAGTAGTCGAAATAACTTCTTTTGTAATGATGAATTCGAATTCTATGAAAAGATTTTTTTGATAGACGAAAAGAAAAAGTTACATATATATATATATTCATTTATTTATTTAGATGTATTTGTCTTATTTACACTATGAACAAATAAATAAACCTTTTAAAGAAGTTCTTGTACTTAAAATCTTCAAACCTTCTCCAAATGAAGTAAAACTTCAAACCTTCTCTAAATGAAGTATGAACAAACGTCATTCTATCTAATTCTGGGTCCAATGATGTTATATCTATGACTATCGAGTCTTAAAACTTAATATATTAGTATTAATGAATTATTTTTTAGAATTGATGTTTACATTCAAACCTTTTTAATCTCGCACAAATAAATAATTTGTCTATAAAAAAACTTTTGTGTGGATTCTAATATAAATCTAATATATATATAAATCTAATATAAATCTAATATAGTAATTGTTCCTTTTTAAGTTGAACGCTTTCGTTATAGTTTCTATAATTTGCTATAGTTTCTACACATGATACGTAGAACAGAATCCCCATTATAAGCATATGTGAATATCTGTACCTTTGTTTATCTTTATGTTGAATATCAAAATTGATCTTGTGCTCGCGTACTACGTAAATTACATTTTCGATTACCTATGTTACACGGTTCAATTATTATAAGCCTAAGTGAAACAATTGCATAGAGTACAAGAATTTTAAATTTGATATCGGTATATCTTGTTCCCTAAATTAATAATGAAATATTTATTAGATTCCATTTAAAGCATTTTATGTCTTTTCATCTGTTTTCTTTGGTAAATATTTGCTTGATCAAGGTTTCATTTTCGTGAATAATAATATTTTAATGTCGTAATGTTTTGTATAAAATGCACAATCGGCGTAATGAATCACATAATAGGTGTACAATGTCTTTTTTAGGATTTCAGCTTAGGCATTAGCCGTTTAAAAAAAAAATAAAAATAAATAAATCTGCATAGCGATAGAGATAGCGATAGACAATTATTAAATTTTGCTGTATGTTATTCTGAGTTGATTATGTATGGTTATCTTTATCATCGTCTTCATCATCTTCATCGTTATATTGTTATGTATCATTATGTATCGTTACGCATGCGCATAAATTCAAAATCTCTATTCACATTCGCTTAACTGATTCAATAAATTCGATAAAGTTGATCCAATAAATTCAATAAAATTTATGAAAATTCAATAAAAATTACTTTAAAATAATGAAATTTCATGTGCTAATTTAATTCTTGTGAATATCTTTGGAATATTCACGTGTCATTACATTATCTTTTTTCTACAAAATGGTCTTTCATATCTTACATGGTTACTTTGGGTTAATTACATTTCAATTTACACGTTATCAATTACAATTTACTCAATTTACACGTTATTAATTACAACTTACAAATTACGGTTAAAATGCATCATGCTTATTTTTACGGATCTACTGTACGCGACAGTAGCTGAGGATACCTTGCATAGAACGGCGGGTACAATTTATATGAAAAGTTATATGAAAAGTTATATGAAAAGTTATATGAAAAGTCATGAAAAGTTATATGAAAAGTTATATGAAAAGTAATAATTCATATAGATACAGTATACCCCCTCCGAATATTATTAAATAATTAGGCTGAAAAGCATAATGGAACAATATCCGAGTCTTAATCTAAACATAGTGATTCAACCGTTGGTACGTATAATATTTGGCGTTAACATGATTTGATATTATAATAATTTCATATTCTTTCGAAAAAAAAAAGAGAAATATTAACATCATCTTCAATGTATTTTTTTTAAATAATCTTTTTAGATAACGAATAAAATAAACACATTAAATGACCGTTGATCTTAATGATGCATTCACAAGAAAGAATGAATGCTAGTTATATATATATATACACACATATATATATATATATATGATAGCGTTTCATCAATATTTTTAGCAGTTGACTGGTTTAGAGCTGTTTTTTCTACATCAAGTTTAGGCAAGTAATTTCAACTTCTATAAGCTTCGATTTGTTATTAACATTCTTTTTTAGTATTTAGACCAACTCCATTTGACGCGTTCACGACGTCATGTTATCTTTCTATATTCAACTATTTCATACATATTACTACGTATTTTAATTGGATATGAAAAAAAATTTTTTTTTTGTACGTAATAACGGATATTGTCGGCATCCTGCAAGCAATCTGCAATGTTCGGTCCATATTTGGCTAGCTGATTTGGAGAAAACATTGGCAAAACGCCAATACATTCGGTTTTCATTTGATTAATATTGAATATCCATTTTTATTTTAGTCACCGAGTACACATTCTTACGTACTTTTTAATCAGTGCTATGCGGTAATTAATGCAGCACTTATGTGTATATATCATATAATTACGTAATAACATTGATGCGTAATACCGAAGTCTGAATAAATGAAGATGTGAAACATTGCCAAGACTGGCAAATTTTCGGAAACTTCTGGTCAAAGTGATACAATAAGGCTTATTTATTGGGATAGTCATTTAGGTGTTATCGATACGTATCCTAGATACCTGGTGCCGGTCCGGTCCTTTCTTAAAATGGAAAATCTGATTTGAACTACCAAATCGGGGCCATCTATTGAAATAAATCATGTGATTATAAACAAATTAACCGCAAAATTTCGCGAAAATTCGATATAGAAAATTTGTGGTAACTTTACACATACATATCCAACTAATCTTAATTATTTTATCATTAACTGGTGTGTTTTCTCAAAATTGGGTGCATAAATAAATTCTTATACGTAAAACAATTATACGCATTGTGTTTTATATATTGTATACGTATAATTAACCTTTAATTATTATTATTATTATTATTATTATTATTATTATTATTATTACTGATATTCAAAAACATTCAGTTCAGTTTTTATACGTATACGCATAAAAAGTATATATACTTTTATATAGTTGTTATAACAATTAGAAAATTACTACTAGCAATTATTTTAATTAGTAGTCAAATTGTTAGTTGAAAAATCAACTAATTGACAACTCTTTAATTATTCGATAACTTCAGATAATCTAGATAATCTTTACTAGTAAATTTTGCTATTTTTGAAATCTGAAGAATAACTTATTTTTTTTTTACTAAGTTAACAATTTTTTATGTTTTTAATAAAAGTTGTAAAAAAAAGGTTAATGGTAATTAAAATAG